TAAGCGTAACAGTTTATTAATATCACGATTATCACTTGTTATCACCAAAAACACGAGAAATTGCCGTATTTACTTGTCCAACAAATCCTCTTCCCTTCTTACTGTCATGTCACTATCGCCACTACCTCATTGCGGTGTTGTCATGATGAATGTTTCATTATGTTTTCTGGTAATTACCACCTAAAATTCTTGAGAATTTTTTAATATAAAATTGCGACACTGTTATTTTAATGGCATTTGCTTGTCGCTTATTACAAACTAAGCCAAACACCAAATATATTCATGGCTACCGTTTTCCTGCTATTTTCTTGTGGATGCCACTCATATACATATACGTATATCAAATTGAATACTGAGCCGGCAAAGCAGCTCTCGTAAGTACCTACTTTTGTATACTGTAAACCATAGAGTAAGTAAAATTTTTTTTTTTACTCTATTTAAAATTTTAATTACTCTATGCTGTAAACCAGTGTTGCTCCCACAGAAAAACGTAAACAAATGAATCTGTTTACTCTGAGTTTTTCACCCATAAAGTCGTCCGTTTTAACCCCACACATAGGGGTGAGGGCGGAGCGCACACCCTCTATCTGAAAAAAATACTCAGGAAAACTCAGAACTATTTTATTAGAAATTTTCTGTTCAAAATTAAACTATTTATTACGATAAAACTGAAAAAATCGTCCGACTTCACCCCGAACGGCGGTACAACTAACAGTTAATGAAAAATAGAACGGCAATTTCGATTAATAGAATTAAAAGGATGACTGTCAGTTAAATTTGTTAGATATTAACTTTGTTCAGTCGTATACGAGGTATATAAAAAAAATAATTTTGACCAACAATAAAGTAAGTACAATTACACCTTTATAGTACCTTTATTTTTTGACAATATCGAAAATTGTTACTGCGTTCAAATATGCAGCTCCATCCAATTATACGAAACAAATAAATATTTATATCTTCTGACAAACCTGATACGACGGAACAAATTTGTTATCTGATGAAAGTATTTTCGATTTTAGAACATGCAGAACTTTTTATGACAAGTATCTTTTTTACGTAAAATTACTAAAAAAGTTTCCCATATGTAACCAACTAAAAAAAATGTCAACTTTTCTTAATAACATTAATTTTTGATTTCATCAAAAATAAAGGTACCTCTTCCTTCTTTATTATTCTTGAGAAAAATTCATATTTTCGGATTAATCTCGTATACGCCTGAAGAAAAAATATCTGATGGACGCATTTTAGGTTTTGGCCCAGGCAGAACTTTCTTTCGTAAAATTAAGTTCAAAAAGTTTTCCATATGGTTCGAACTTAAGTAGACATAAATTAACCTCAGATTAAACAGATTCATTTGTTTACGTTTTTCTATGGGAGCAACATTGGATTACAGTATACAAATGTAGGTACTTAGGAGAGCTGCTTTGCCGGCTCGGTATTCAATTTGACATATATGAGAGTGGCAAGCAAATGCCATTAAAATAACAGTGTCGAAATTTTATATTAAATAATTCAAAATAATTTTCGGTGGTAATTACCAGAAAACATAATGAAACATTCATCATGACAACACCGCAATGAGCTAGTGGTGATAGTGACATGACAGTAAGAAAGGAAGAGGATTGGTTGGACAAGTAAATACGGCAATTTCTCGTGTTTTTGGTGATAACAAGTGATAATCGTGATATTAATAAACTGTTACGCTTAAAAGAAATCGTGCGAAGTGGTTTCATTTGCAGGAAAACCGGCCTGAATTTTCCTAACCTGTACGGTTTTGCACGATTGTAAACAGGAACCAGTGGCGTGAGTTGTTTTGAATTTATAAGCTATCAAATGCTTGAAAAATTTGCGGGTAATGCTTTACGGCACGATCTGCTGTGGCACGAGCACATGCCCGTACGCACGGTACGCGCAGCCAAAAATTGCATACTGGTCAGCCATGTTGCCGAACTGCGACCAAAGTAGAAAATTTCAATGAAAACAAAAAAGTAATTCATTCAGGGTTGAAAACTTAGCAGAATTAAGTCCATACAGGAATTAGTAGACGAAACTGATAAGCTCATACATATATGATTGTGCGCGTAATTTAGCCGTAGTATGCATGCAAAGAAAATAAAATAAAGTATTTTCAGGTTTGGTTTCTCTATGTATGTCTATGAATGCGTGTGAGTTCTTAATCGGTTAATTGGAATTATGACGAGAATCGGAAAAGTAGTGAAAATATATCATCTGGGTATTACTAATTACTATCTATTTTATATTAAATAGTTAAGTATATTAAATGGTTTGTGTACATGAAAAGGAAGGAAGTGGTAATGTTGAGAAAGTGCTAATATAGTACTGGCAACTACGCGAAAAAATTCGACGCAAAGAGCTGAACCATCATGACTGTTGTTTTGGAAATTGATGAATTTCAGAGGGTGAAAAGTCCTGGAAAACGGCACGTCGAAAAATGTTGTTTGTTACGAGATTTCTTATAAGGTGAGCATAGTCTTAATCGGCAAAGCGGTAATCCTAGTATCAGATCGTACCGTAAAGCATTACCAATTTGCGTTACTTTTATAGCGTTCATAATTTCAAACATATAATGTAGATGTAACGGTCAGAAAATGAATGCATTTTTCATGTAGAATAAATCGATTAATACAAATTTTGACTACGCCTATGGCTAGGAGCCAGGCCAGTTGATTTTCCGATTAATTCTACTCTGACCGGTACCTACTTTATCCCTACCACCTGTTTTTCATTGATAAATCGCCGACCGTTAGAATTTAACGTTGATCCCAAACAAATTGAGATTTATGAATGACTAGCTTGGTCTATTTATTAATGTGTGATATTAACTATCAAACAAAAAGGCATTAAAAAAAATAGTTTGGAAACCACCCGACCCAGACTGAAAAATTTCGACGGGTAACTGGTTTGGAATTGTAGATAACTTGAAGCAGTCAAGTAGGCACTTAAAGAAAATACTAAAAGGAAAATTTACAATTTATTAAATATTTTCCGTAAACATTAGCTTACAATATAATTATATTTATCAGTAAAATAAAGTCTCATTCTGCACAACATGTGATAACTTACAAAAAACAATGATAGTATAGAAATACTTTGGCCTAGTGCGCGTACGGTCTTTCGTCCATAAAATGGCAGTTCTGGTCGCACAGCGACTTCATATCGCAGATACAATACAAAAGACTTCAAAGAAAAACGAATGCATGGAATAATGGAATGCAGGCGATACAAAAATAAATATTACAAGCCTTAACAAAATTAGAAACACTTCCTGTGGACGATGGAAGGGCCAGACTCGTCGTACTCTTGCTTGGAAATCCACATCTGTTGGAAGGTGGACAGAGACGCAAGGATGGAACCTCCGATCCAGACAGAGTATTTCCTCTCGGGGGGAGCGATAATTTTGATTTTCATGGTTGATGGGGCCAAAGCGGTAATTTCCTTCTGCATACGATCGGCGATTCCAGGGTACATGGTGGTACCTCCCGACAAAACAGTGTTGGCGTACAAGTCTTTCCTGATGTCGACATCGCACTTCATTATAGAATTGTAGGTGGTTTCGTGAATACCGGCAGCTTCCATGCCCAAGAAGGAAGGCTGAAATAAGGCTTCCGGACAGCGGAATCTTTCGTTTCCAATAGTGATGACTTGACCGTCAGGAAGCTCGTAGCTCTTCTCCAAAGAGCTAGAACTAGCAGCAGTTGCCATCTCCTGTTCAAAGTCCAGAGCCACGTAGCAGAGCTTCTCTTTGATGTCTCGGACGATTTCCCTTTCGGCAGTGGTGGTGAAAGAATATCCACGTTCGGTTAAAATTTTCATTAAATAGTCTGTTAAATCACGACCAGCCAAGTCCAAACGAAGAATGGCGTGGGGGAGAGCGTAGCCTTCATAGATGGGTACAGTGTGAGACACACCATCTCCAGAGTCGAGGACGATACCAGTGGTACGACCAGATGCGTACAAAGAAAGCACAGCCTGGATGGCCACGTACAT